TCACAAACTATTAAGAGAAAAGTACTTTTGCGATTTAGTCATGGACCACACGGATGATGTGAGTAAATAACATTCATGATAATAATTTAGGTAGAGAATATGTGATTATTTTTATTTTTTGAATTTCATTTAGCATATGTACACATATGATCTATTACGAGTAATAGTACTCCCTCCATCCCAAATTGTAAGTTATTCCAAGAATCTTGGAGAGTCAAAGCATCTTAAGTTTGACCAAGTTTATATAATAAGATAATAACATTTATGATACCAACTAAGTACCAATAGATTCTTTGTTAATTATATTTTTATAGTATACCTATTTGATGTCATAAATCTTTGTAATTTTTTTTATAATTTTGGTCAAACTTGAGAAGCTTTGACTCTCCAAGATTCTTGGAATGAATTACAATTTGGGATGGAGGGAGTAACACAAAACACTAAGACTAACATATTGATCATATTATGCTGACATAGTGTATTGCGTGAATCATGGACCAGGAGTTGATGCAAGATGAGGTTCACAATGCAGTCTTGTTGGTGTTTCGAGTTACTGACTAGTAAATTTCTAGATTACGCGTCCGGCTCGGATGGTGTGCTGAGAGGACACGAGATTTATACTGGTTGGGGCGAAACGTCCCTACGTCTAGTTCACTGCTGTTGTTCGTGTTACTAGCACTGAATGTTTGTAATAGGGGTTACAAACGGACAAGACAGGGGGCAGGACCCCAAGTCTCTTATGTGTGCGAGTGTGGGTGAGTGAGAGTGTTGCTTTCCAGTGGCGAAGTGCGCTAGAAAGCCCTCTGTTCGGGTTTGGTCGGATCAGATCCCTGGATAGGGAGCCCGGCTTTTCCTTTTATAGACCAAGGGAAGGCCTGGGGTACACGAGGGAAAAAGAAAGGATGAAAAAGAAGAAAGAGAAAAACAGGGAAAAAGAAAGCTCCATGGCTGTGTTCTCTTCTTCCCCCGCAGGAGGGGCCCATTAGTCTTTTAGCGACTCCTCGTCACGTCCCCGCTACAGGTAGCCGTCGTCATCCAGTCGTGGCATCCAGCCCTGTCGCCGCACGCGGTATGGTCAATAGTTCCCCTTGACTAGGGCCGTACAGGGATTTGGTAGCACAGTGCCGGCCCATCCGGCACTATTGGGGGCGTGTGTACCCAAGTATGGCCCGTCGCAGTCATGGGGCATGTCGAGACGTGTCCGTCCCCTTCATGGCATTATAGGCGTGACCTGGGCCCACACCCCACGCCTGTGGTGGTTAGGAATAACGCGGGCCCCCATAGTTAGGAATTGAACTATGCACGGTGCATAGACACACTACTTAACATATATGGGCATATGAGAGATTCTTCCCTATCAGATGGTTTGTAAATTTTTTATTAAAGTTTATTTTAAGATATTTTTAATCACTTTATAGTTTCTAAAATTTCATAATACTAAAATATTTTTGGAAATTTTTGAAATTTGGCTAAGGACCAAAGTACATTCTTATAACATCCCAAAAGAATCTCAACAACAAAATGAAATATTGCCGTCTCAATTTGCTTCATTTTTTAGTTGATTTTAAGCACATGACATATAGTAGACTATGTAAATGTTTTAATTATTTAATATAAAACCTAATTAAAGCAATCTATGTAAATGTTTTAATTATCTTCCGGCAATAACACGTGTTTTTTAGAATTAAAATGTATTTCTACTAACTCATTGAAGTTACTTTAAATGACAAAAAGAACTAGTACGTTTGAACCTTCAAATGGCTTAGAAGGATTACGGGCTTGAACAAGCTGTTTGTTATTCAGCCAAACGTTGAGCAAAATTTTAGACCAAAACCAAAAATACATCATTGTAACAATACTAAACAAGTTTCAATTGAAAGTTAAATTGAGATAACAGGTTGCTTTATTTCATAAGCACATGAGTATAGTCAAGTCCATCTCTTTTTCTAATATTCAAGGTGATTAGTATTCAACTTTATGTTTTTTGCATGAAAATTTAATATAACCATAATTGGGATGTTTGATCAAGAAAATAATTTAAAATTTAATTCTTGATATTAAAGTATTTTTTATTAAATTTACATGCATCTGTATGGATTTAATAAACCCTAAAATTTTTGTTTTATAAAAAAATCAAATACACCCATTTTGGGGAATTAAGGAGGAAAGTTCAAATTAGCGCCATCAGAGATTTCTATCTAGCGAGAAATTTGGTTTCCCTCCCATCAAAATCCAATTTTTCGCGCCTTGGTCTCGGCCATACGGCCTGTGCGGTCGCCGTCAGTACATCCAAATCTAAAACAAATATAAAAAACGATTGAACCCTAACCACTCGTTTTCCTTTTTAATTATCTCCTGCACTTCTACTCACACCGCCGCCGCGCATAGACCAAGCCGCCACCGTTGTTGCCCCTGTCGACATCACAAACTCCGCCTCGTCACTCCCCACTGATGCGGGAAGGCCCCGACGCGAGCAGCTCCCAGCGGGAAGGCCCCAGCACCGGCGACCCTGCCGCATCGGCCTGCGCGAGCGGCCCCGGCGGCCGGCAGCCCAACACGAGCGCTTCCAGCCATGTCGTCCTGCGCCAGCGGGCCCCGGAGCGGCGGCGGCATCGACCGCTGTTGACGCTGATTTGCAGATGGAGTGTGCGCCTGTTCTCGAGGAAACCCTCACGCAGTCACCACCTCCTCTGCACCCTCTTCCTATTGAACGCCTCATGTGCTTTGGAGATGATGCGTTTTTTTTTGTTTCATACTACCAGATCTGCGCTCACACATCAGGGACGGACCTCCCTCCCACCACAAACTCCAGGTGTTTATTTTGGAAGTGACAAATTCCAGGTTCCAAGCCTCTGACATATATGTGTTTATTGTCTGTATTTTTGTAGTGCAACTAACATATCTGTGTTTATATTAGCGAATAAGCACCACAAACTCTAGCAATTCGCAGCATCGACAGACAATACATCTTACAGGATCAAAACCTTTTTCACAAGTTAGTTATGAGCAGGTAATGATATGGAACCTAATCTTCTTCTTTTATTTTTTACCTAAACAGTAACAATGTTCAATTTTCACATCTTAGAGAAACCTGGAGACCGGTGAAGAGCCAGATGGTTTGACATTTTGGAGGAGTACACGCACTAAGGAGGGCCGATGGTCTTCTGATGCTGCTAAGGAAATATATGTAAGTGCTACTTTGTTCATTAGTACTTAGTGATGTTGCAATTATATATAACATAATTATTATATTGATGGTTGTACATGCCCTGATTGGGTGATAAAAGGTCATCATCTCCTTGTCCTTGTGTTGGGTTTGGCAATCCTATCTTTAGTTTTTTATTTATGCTATTTTCAGCTGTGCCACCTGTTCTTTTTGGTATAGCAAGTTTGGATGAGCCAAATGCTTCCAAACTTTTTCTGTGGTCTCCTGATAGCATATGGTAGCTGCTGTAATTTTTGTAGAATTTTCTATGCAAGTCTTGTATATGGTCTTTTATGCATCCTTATATCTATTTAAATTTAGAAAAACATCAAATAATTTTATTTTATGATGGCCATCATATTTTCTAGTGTCCATGAGTTATGTATGTTGCCATGATATGGTTGGTATGGTCCAAATGTAAGTTTGGAACATCGTTAATTCTTTAAGTGAGATGTTGGTCCCATCTGGACAGATCTGGAGACTTAGAGAAGTTCACCTTGATAAGTTGGTTTCCTTGGAGACTTGTGAATACCAAAGTTGAATATAATTGTCATATATAGCTGCTGTTCAAATTTGAGGTCATTTGACCTAGTGGTTTGAAAGTTACAGCTGTTTGAAGTTACCTCCCAGTTTTTGGGTGCTCTCTGTTTCAGCAGAGTAGTTTCTGTAATTCTGCTATTTGGAAGTACTTAAGTTCTGAATCATGCTTTGATGTATGAAGATGAAATCTCTAGAATTTTATAAGCTTTCCAGAATGTCCTCTTGCAAGTCATTTGGACTTGTATATCTCCAGATATGATTTATTTTCTGTACAGCTGTTGGATGCCCAGATTTCTGGGAACTTGCTGGAAAGCAAGTTGCTTATGTTAGATGCTTTATGTAGTTAATTATGTTCTTTAAAGTGATTTGAATAGAGCTGGGCTACTCGGTAAATGAGTGTCCAGTGATGTATGTTCTCATAACATGTTTTATTTATTTATCTCCAATGTCATACATATCTCTGAAATGCTAGAGTTCAACTGTCCTTTGCTTTTTACCTCTCAACATGCTTTGGTAGGAATCATATTTGCATGATTAACATGGACTTGGATTTTTTTAGGAAGTAATCAGTACATGAATCTAACTGATACAGTTTGATTTCCAAAGTATCCATTTTACCTAATTCTTATTATACTTGAACTGGAACTGCTGTTGCTACTTGCTAAAGTTGAAAACACTAATTGTGTTCTTAAATTTAGGAAAGCGCCTTCTCCAAAATTATAGAGAGAATTGAGTTAGAAGCTTGTGTGATTTCAAAAGAACAAGAAAGGCACATTCTTCATGAAACCTACAAGGAAACCACTAGATGCAGGAGCAGGAAAGGTCCTGGACATGGATACTTGGCAAAGTATCCGACCTGAAGCCAACTTATGAATGAATGAATTGAAGAGCAAGCTCGTGCATCTACATTAGCAGCAGCAGCCCAACAGAAGAATAGTGAGATGCAAGCTAAGGTAGAGAAGTTAAAAGAAAAGCTTACCGTTCAAGCCGCTGAGAGGGAGAGCGACAAGGAAAAAGTTCAGCAGCTGCAACATCAACTAGAGAGTACAAGTAGCAAGATTAGAAAAGAACTAAGGCAAGAGTTTTTTTCACTAATCAAACAACACAATCATGCACCGTCTTTGGTAATAATACTACTTCTTAATTGTTACCAACATCATTGATTTTAGTAAAGCTTGATTGCTAATGTTTCTCCTTATAACTCCAATGCAAGAATGCTGCACCAACCACAACAGCCCCTCAGCCTGCAGAAAATATGGTTAGTGGAAATGAAGGTGCAGATTTAGCACAGGTATTATTTTTGGATAAATGCAAATTGCGATGTAATGGATACCTACATTTAATCTGACATAATGTGTGAATCTTTTTTTAAAATATGAAGGCTGGTACAGAATCTGCCCTACCCACACATAATGAACCTGCTATTGTTCTGACTCCCATCCAAGGATCAGAACATGTGCAACAGGTAATATACTTCAAAATTATCACCTGCAGTTGAACAGATTCTTAGAATTGCTAAGTGGTGATTGCTCCTTCAAATCTTCTAGTTTTTACAGACTGTACCAGATAGTGTATTGTTGAGCAAACAGAAGAGTATCCAACCTAGTCGCCTCACTCGCAACGCCAATAGATCACTTTTCCCAAATGATAAAGATAGTACTGAGACAGTGACATTTATTACATCACAAACACTGAGGAATACTGCTGCAAATAAAAAGCTACAATGCAGAAAGAAAGGAGGAAAGGTATGAGCAATCAGGTGTCATTTTAAGTTGTTGTCCAGATTATTAACATGAACTTTGTTCACTTATACATGTATGTTTGTTCACTTAACATGAGCAATCAGGAGTTCATGCCTTATGTGTTTATAGTTCGGCTTCGGTATCCATTCTATTTGTTAAACCCAAAAATATTGTCTATCATGTATTGTCTATGTTTGATTCCAACTATGTGATCAACTATATATATTACTAATGCATGTCATTTTGACTTTTTCAGGAAGATCAACCTTGAGGGAGTCTTGGCAAGCTGAAATGAATCAAATATTGTGCAACGAGAAAGATGTCATGTTGATCTGTGCTAAGAGACATGTATTTTTGTTTATGATTGCCTATTTGTAGCATAAGTTAGTGGTTTGTAATGCAGTTCAACTTTGCAATTACCTATTTGGAAATAGGAAGGCATTTGACTTCCTTACATTGTACAAACTATTGAATGCTTATGATCTAAGTTATTAATATGATTGCCTTTTTGTGCCATTGAATTTTGTAATTTTATGAATTTCTGTGCAATGAATTTGATGCAATAATTGGTTGCCCTTCAAATCTCATGTCGATGCAATAGTTTGTATTGCATCCAAGCTCATGTCGATGTGATAGTTTGTATTGCATCTAACCTCATGTCTATGCAATAGTTCGAATTGCATCGAACATAACGTCGATGCAATAGTTCCTATTGCATCGAACCAAAATGATGATGCAATAGAACCTCTTGCATCGAATCAAAATGGTGATGCAATAGATTATATAGCATCGAACCTAATATGGATGCAATATAGTCTATTGCATCGAACGATAGCCGTTGCAATAGATGTATTGCATCAACATGATTTGGATGCAATAAGCTATTGCATCTCTCAATTTTGATGCAAGAGACAACGGATGGATGATGCAATAGCTGCTTCTCGCATCAACCACAAGTAACCGATGCGAAAGGCTATTGCATCAAGACCACTTGCATCGGCTGGCATCAAACGAGAAATTGATGCGAAACCGAACTATTGCATCTATTTTAGACCTATAACATCAAAAATTGACCGGTGCAACAGGGTCAAAATTTAGTAGTGTCATGTCATAATCTTCATTTGCTCCACCACTTGGATTGTGCCACCTATCTCATAATCACTTTGATAAACTAGGTTAGCACTTAGGTTTCATCAATTTACCAAAACCAAACTAGAGCTTTCACCAGTGCAGTGCAGATTGCTATAGCAATAGCACCCAAAGTCAAGTCTGTGATTGTTGGCCCATCGACTGCTTTTGATCCCATCATCACTGTGGTGCCCTCCCTCCTTAAGAAGGTATCTAATTTCATATCCTCTAATCCTTCTCCAATTTTTCTGAAGCATCTTTTCATTTTACATATCAATCATGATACTCTTGTGCCATCTTATTTCACTGATAATCAAATTCTTGTCCGTCTTGCATTCATCTTGTCTCCACAGCTTAGTGGACATGCTCTAGAAAAGATTGCTATGGACTACTTTGAGGAAGAAGAGGAGGAACCTGAGATGATGGCACAAGAGGTAAGGAAGAATCAGAAATGATGGTACAGGAGGAAGAAGACCCTGACATGGTGATGCAGGAAAAGGACTCTGATTTGGAGATGCTTGATGGCCCCCTTTCTTCATGACCCCAAAGAAGAAGAGGGTTGTTAAGGTAAAAGAAAAGCTAGATGACAGCTTCTTGAGGCACAACAAGAGGGTCTCATAGAACCTTGAAGGTTTCAAAGATGCTGACAGTGCCAGAAAGTTCAAGGAAGCAAAGAGTGACAAGAAGCCCAAGGGGACAAAGAGTGCTAAATAGCCCAAGGAGGCAAAGAATGCTAAGAAGTCAAAAGAGACTGCTGAAGATGTGGAGGAACCTGTTCCCCTTGCCATGATCCCACTACTTGGCAGGGAGATTGCTCCTCATCTTGCTAAGCAAATCCTAGAAGGCAATGGGCATGGCTTCTTGTAGATCTAGCCTGAGGCTATTTCTGCTACACTCCTGGAGAAAGATGACCTAGATGAATAGTTCACCTATGAAGTCTGTTAGTGCACCAGTCCTAGGGATGGTGCTTAATGCTTATGTTATTTTGCTTTGCTCCTTTGTCCAGTGCATGTACTGGCTGAATAAGAACGTGTATTGATGTATCAGGTGTTTTAGCACCTTTAGGAGCCTTATCCTAATGGTTATGCTATCTTTGTGATTGTCTACTATCTGTTCCTATCTGTTGAGTTCATTGTTTTTTCCATGTTTGGCACTTGGTGGCTCAAACACATGAAACTTCCCCTCGTCGGTTTTAATGGATAGTAACAATAGTAATAATAGATATAGCAAGATCTTATTCTAGAATATTAGGGGGATAAATTCCCAAGACAAATGGGATGCAATAAGAGACAAAACCAATGAAAGTGCTTGCCATGTGCTCTGTTTACAAGAAACTAAGAGAGAAAATTTTAATAGTTTCTACATTAAAAATTTTTGTCCTAGAAACTTGGATCAATTTGCCATCTTCCCCTCTATTGGTGCCTCTGGAGGTCTTCTCACTGTGTGAAATAGCAGTCTTTTTTATGGTACAGTCATCCAAGCGAACTCATATGTATCACAGTCAAACTTTTTTGCAGACTTGACAATAGCACTTTCTTTGTCACTAACATATATGGTCCTGCTAGTTCACCACAGAAACAAGGTTTCACTACATGGCTCATGAATTTAGACACCACTAATTTTGAAGATTGGGTACTTGGTGGTGACTTTAACCTCGTAAGAAGCCCAAAAAATAAGAATAAGCTTGGGGGAGACACTATAGAAATGAACCTATTCAATGAAGTAATCTTTGATCTAGACCTGGTTGAAATACCTTTTAGTGGCAGAAATTTAACATGGAGTAATATGCAAGTTGACCCACTTTTGGTGAAGCTAGATTGGGTCTTCACATCATCAAGCTGGACACTCTCCTTTCCTGCAACTTTTGTGCAGCCACTACCAAGACCCATTTCTGATCACATACCCTATGTTTTGCATATTGGAACCAACATCCCTAAATCCAAGATATTCAGGTTTGAGAACTTCTGGGTTGACCATCCTGGGTTTGTAGACACAGTTAAACTCCACTGGAACAATTCTCCCTATTTTGCCAATGCAGCCAAGCACCTGTCAATGAAATTTAAACAGATCAGAGCAGGTCTCAAAACCTAGAGCAAAAAATTATGAAATTTAAGTAAGCTCATATACAACTGCAACTGGGTCTTGCTGCTATTGGATGGGCTTGAGGACCAGAGAAGTTTATCTAGACTTGAGTCAGCCTTCAGAAGACTAGTCAAGAATCACCTAGCCAATTTGTTGGAGTAAAAAGGGCATATTGAAAATAGAGAAACTCTGTGAGATGGGTGAAGCTTGGTGATGAAAATACTCACTTCTTCCATACCATGGCTACAATTGCTCATAAAAGAAATTTTATTGTTGCTCTATCAAACACTGAGGGGAATTCCATAACAGATCATGAGCAAAAGGCTAACCTATTGTGGACTGCTTTTAAACAAAGAATGGGGGTCAGTGAATTCTCAGGTATGAGTTACAACCTTAATGACCTATTGACAGCACATGACTTAGAAAGTCTATATGCAGAGTTCAGTTAAGAAGAAATTGAGATGGTTATTAAGACTCTTCCCAATAATCATGCCCCTGGGCCTGATGGTTTCAATGGGTTGTTCATAAAAATGTATGCACATTGTCAAGGATGACTTCACCAGAATGTTCAGAGTCAAAACATTGATCTAAGGAGCATCAACTCATCTGTCATTGCTCTGATCCCAAAGAAGGAGAATCATGAAACTGTTAATGACTACAAACCCATTTCACTTTTAAATTACTCACTAAAGTGCATCACCAAGATCCTTTCAGCAAGATTATAGACAATGATATTGCAGCTAGTTCATACTAATCAATATGGTTTCATCAAGGGGAGAACCATTTAGGATTGCCTAGCCTAGTCATTTCAGTTCCTTCATCTCTATCATCACTCCAAAAAAGAGATAGTTATTCTAAAACTTGATTTTGAAAAAGCCTTCGACAAGTTAGAACATCAAGTGATACTGGAGGTCCTTAAACATAAAGGTTTTTCAGATAAATGGGTTAGTTGGGTCCAAAATTTGCTAAGCACTGGAAGCTCATCTATTCTACTCAATGGCATCCTAGGGAAGTCATTCAACTGCAAAAGGGGTGTTAGGCAAGGTGAACCTCTCTCTCCACTCTTATTTGTTCTAGTAGCAAATCTGCTTCAAACAGTGGTTAATAGAGCATGGCATACTGGTTAAAAGTCCTTGTTTGGTTTTGATAATTGAGTGACAACCTAGGTGGACTAATATGTGTTTATGTGAGATACACAAGTGATTAGTCCATAGGTACACTTGTGTGAGCAACACATGCCATAGAGGTGGAAATGGCTTGAAAATGTTGCAAGGCTCACACATGTAACAAAGGAGCTCATTGTATATGAGACATGACATGGAGTCATGTGACTAAGGTGGAAAAGATTAAGACAAGACATGGCTTGATGGACCGGTTGCAAGCGTGAAGGGCAAGTTGGAGGCTTTAGAGCGATGGACAGTGTGGCAGTGAAGCTTGAGCAAGACTTGGCGCTCATGGACATAGGCAACAGTAAAATGCAAGTGAGGTCAAGATCGATGAACCAATAAGGTCACATGATGATATGAAGTGGATCATATCATTTGTTGATCGTGTTGGTGCATGTATTGCATCAACATTGGAGGAGATGGAATGGAATGTAAGGCAAAGGTATAACCTATAGGGCATTTCATTTCACCGGTCATAGGTGTATAGAGAAGTTTATGACTGGGTTTAGGATAGATGACCATACTATCAAGAGGGGCAAACTTGTTTGCATATCGGTCATATAGTGCCACTTGAGCGATCTATCTTTGTATACGTGTTAGGATCAAGTGGTAGGGTGGAAAGAGTGCTAATCCTTTGGAAAATGATTGTGAAAATGCTAACACACTTGCACAGTTATTGTACACTTGGTGGTGTTGGCACATTTGGAAAGGAGAAGTTGTTGGAGTTGAAAGGGAACAACTCGGAGAAGAAAAGGAGGCGAAATAGGTGACCGGACCCTGGCTATGGGAGGATCGGACCCTAATTAGGTGAGTCTGGTCATCAACCCTAGCCAGTTGCATAGTGGTGCTCGAACCCAAGGGACTAGACCTAGGGCAGGGTCAGGTCTGGTCAATTGCAGCAGCTACATAGTGGCTTGCGGGGGTTCTAGACCCTGGTGTCAAGCGGACCGGACCCTGAGCCATAGCATAGTTGTGATGCGCAGAAGGTAGGGCTATGACGCGAGTGCTCTGGACCCTAGTGAGTGGCTAGTCTGGACTCTGTGCACTGGGTTCGGTCATTTGCGTGGTGGCAAGAATGCAACATAGCACGAGCTGGTGAACTGGACCCACACTACACATGGTCTGGAAGGCAGGAACGGACCAGGTCCGGAGGCAAATCTGCCTCTCTAGACCTCTCTATTTTGATCCGGACCCTAGGAATTGCTGGGTCCGATTGTGGTAGTGAGGGTCCGGTCCGGAGGTGCAGCGGTGCGTGCAGGAGTTAGCCATTGGAGCGCCAATGGTCGGCTTCTAATGTGGGGACACATGATGCAATCCCGACGACTAGACCCTATGAACAGTGTAGGTCCGGTCGGCCTGTGTGGGTCTAGTCCGGATCCTACGCAGAGGGCTTTTGAGCAATGGCTCTTTTGACCCCTTGGGCTATAAATTGAAGGGGTACTTGGGCATGGCTGAGGTTGAGCACCTAGGGGGACTTTGTGTCCATGCTTGAGAGTGCTTGGGAGCCCTCTAACTCAGTTGTGCTTGATAGTGATCATCCGATCGAGTGAGTGAGTGATTCTAGTGCGATTGCATCATGAGGTCGCATCAAGTGGCACTAGGTGATCGAGTTGCAAGCCGGTGGTGTTTGTTACTCTTGGAGGTTGCCACCTAATAGATAGCTTGGTGGCTTGTGACTCCATTGAAGCACCCAAGAAGATTGTGCGGTGCGCCAGAGGAGGATTTGTGAGGGGGTTTGTGCTCACCCCATGGGGATCGCGAAGAGCAACTCTAGTAGAGCGTGTCATTGAGCTACCCTCACTTTCTGGGTAGGTTCTTACGGTGCGTGAAGTGCGGGCTTAGCGGGTCATGCCAATTAGCCGCCAAACCACCAAGTGAGCGGTCGACATAACGGGGACTAGCGTGTTGGCAAGCACATGAACCTCAGGATAAAATCACTGTGTCATCCTTGTCTTCCCATTGGTTTGCATCCTTGTCACACAAACTTGTATTTACATTTCATACATTGTGCTTGTGTAGTTGCTCTTGTAATTTGTTGACTTGTGTAGTTGGCTAGTTACCTTCTTGCTTGTGTAGCATGGAAGTAGCTCCCTTATGTGACTAATTTGGTTTGAGTAACCTTGTTAGTCACATTTCTTAGTTTGTGTTGCTAAGTAATTTGTGCTCTCTAATTTGGCATTAGTTGCCTTCTTATTGAGCTTTGCTAGTGAGCTTAGGAGCTTTGTGCTTTTGCTTGCTAGATTGTGTAGGAGCTCCCCATTGCTTGAAGTTCTAGTGGCATAGGTTTCTGTGACCTTGCTCCTACAATTGGTTAGGTGAGCTCTAGCTAGTCTGGCACCTTTGTTGCCCAATTAGGATCTTTATAAGGTTCTTGTGAACTTAGATAGAGGGGTGTAGTCTTGGCTGGACCGATAGTTTTATTTCTGCATTTGTTTCAGTTAGCCGGCACATTTAGTTTTAGAAAGGATTATTCACCTCCTCTAGTCCACCATCTCAACCCTACAAGTGGTATCAGAGCTTGGTCTCTCATTTATGGTCTTCACCGATCCAAGATTATGGTGACTAATGGGCTAGATGATTGTGAGACACATATTTTTGATGGCACAAACTTTGCACTTTGGAAAAATCACATGCTTGACCATTTTCGTGCAAAGGGACCTAAGTTTTGGTGGATTGTCACTAGTGGTCTCACTCGTGTCTTGGACCATAGAAATCTCACCAAAGCTCAAAGAGTTCTCTTTGAACTTGATGCACATGCTTATTGTTATCTAATGGATGCTTTGAGCTTTGATTTGATTAAAAAGATAA